AGATACCAATTCATCTTGAGGAGTAATAGATTGGAAAAACACCATCTAAATAGAAGAAGGGTTCTCACAAGAACAGCACAAACACAAATGCCAACACAAAGATTGAGGCTACAGACTCCCCATTAAACTAACCCCAGAATCGGTGGAAGAGAGGTGGGAACAGGCACTCAGTGGCTTCTCAGAAATTACATTTATAGGGTCTCCATTTCTGCAGGCAGAGCCATCACAGAGGCTGTGCACTAGCCATGTCTCATTTCACCCTTGGGAGCAGGCATGCAAGCCTCACAGTGACTGTGTACCAGAGGCTCTGCCCTTGACGTCTGTTGTACAGACTGCCGCTGACTTTGGTTGGTGACAACACTGTAGCTCCCACTGGTTCCCAGCATGTTCCTAGGTGCCATGAGAATAAAAAAGGAAAATGGCAGTGGGTAGGTTTTTATGGTCCATCCTGAATTCACCATCTCAGCCCAGGTACTTTGAGACGCACAGACCCTGTGGACAAGACGAGCAGCTTAGCCCACCTCATTCACAACTTTCCACTTCCTTCTACAGAGGCATTTGGAAGCACCCTCAAGGTCACAGTATCAGCCCTCTTAAACCCCTTGTACTCAAACATTGACCTCTCATAAACAGGCCATGTCCAGCTATCAAAGAGAACTTGAACTAGGTAACCTCTTGGCCTTGCCACTGCTCTGAGGCAGGAGGGAGGCATACAGCTGAGAACAGCAACCCCCAGGGCGAGAGCAGATGGGAGCAGAAAGGTCCTCTGGAAGCCTACAGCACCAAGTTTGATGTCCTGGTTCAACACAGTTTGTGCGCTTGATATAGCAAAGCCATTCCCCTTGTTCCTCAGCTTCCATCTCAAAAATCAGTGTCATCCTAGCATCATCCTTTCCAGTAAGTAAAGAGGTTAAAGGTTGTGAGGTGCTCCAATACTGCAGTGAATAAATGGTAACACACATGGGAGACAGGGACAAGTCTTGAAATATTCACCCACAGCTCTTATGTTGCCTCTGGTGTCAGGAATCTCATGCCCTTGCAGTGGCAGCTGCCTTTTAATTTAGATTTATTTAACATTTTCTTTCATTAAACATCCAAAAGAGATCCTACTGGTAGAGCAATGGCAATGGGAAGTGAGAATAACTATGTAATGGAGTAATGCCCCAGCATAAATGTTATCTACCAAAATCACCAGATGTGGGATGTGCATGGGGTCCAACTCCTCACTCCTGCTGGGTCCACAGAGAACAAAGTTTTTCAGCAAACCTCTGGTCAGCAAGAGGCCATCTCTGCCGTCGTCACACACAACGTGTGTTGTATACAGTCAGTGCCTACAGATGAAACACAGCATGTTAACCTGCAAAAGCTTTTCCAAAATAGTCTGCTGTGCAGTGAGGGAGTGATAATTGCCAGTGATTCCTTGAATCATTCATCTGCAGTGAAGGTCCCATTCTGTAACCTCCCGTAACCAGAACATGCTGATAGGATGCTAAGCCCGTGCTGATGAATTTCATTTGTTATAACAAGTTTACAAAGATTATTAAGGCAGAACATCCTTATTTATTCAGAGACATGTTTTGACTTGGCTTGCACACGTGTTTAGAGGAAGGAATTTTGATAACCACAAGTAACTGTCCTTTCAGCTGTAACAAGCAATAGGGAATTATCATTTTCAGAAGCACGAATCCTCCCAAATGTATCTACTTCCATTATCTGTATCCAGGATTACCTGTTATTGTCTCTATCTCAGAATGATTTAATTACCAGTTCTATCGAAAGAATACATTCAAAGCAGGTATTATTCCTCAGTGATAGGTCCTCTTAGCAGAAAAAGGCAGTACTCCTTACGGCTTTGGGAGTAACAGACTGGGGAAAGTAACCCTCATAATTCAGAGCAGAAAGACAACAGGTGCCTGAGCTGGTTACACAAGCGTACTAGGAGAAAATATGTTTCTTTTTACTGGAAGCCATTAATAGCAATAATTTCAGGGTCTGAAACCTTTGTTCTCCCTGGCTGTATTTTATATATAAATATTTAAAAGTAGGGTATTTTTAAAGGCATTTCAGAAGTCCAGCAACCATAAATGATGTCACTGTATTTTCAGGTTAAAGAAATCCCGGAGCAATGCCCAGCATGCTTACAAATTCGTGTAGTGAGACAAGAACACGGATCAGTGGCACAGAAGCACAGCTCTGTGCCTTGTTGCCATTTACTGCAGTATTTAAAACTATTGCTCCCTGCTAAATATGTATTTAATATACTAAAAAGAGGCATGTGAGTATGACAGTGAGATTGCATGTGTGCAGACCTACAGAAGCAATCTTTATAGTGGTGCAGAACACACCAGGTTTTGGACAGGTTTCTTCTCAGTGAAATGAGAGAAAACTGGTCCTTTAGTGCAATGTAGAGGCGTGCCAGAGACCCCACAGCTCAACATGTCCTGGGCTCTCTCTATTCTACATTGAAAATCCCCACTTCAAGGAATTCTTTCATTTTCAGTTTTACATCTGCCTGAGATGCAACTGAGAGGGCTAGTAGCTAGAAGACCTTCCGTCCCCCTCCTGGGTCCAAGAGGAACTCCTCTGCCACACAAGCCTAGGAAGACTACAGCTAGCATGTTATCCAGGATGATTACTCCCATTAGCAATTTTCTTCTCCCCACGGCCAGCGGAGCATAGGACCTCCATCCTTGTACATTAATTATTTTTGGATTTGATTCTCAGTCAATAATATTTCTGCCATTTAGCAGTCTTCTAATGGTTATCTGGGCACCTGCAGGGCAAATCTAGATAAAATCACTTTCCAAGTGCCAGCTAGCACAGTATTTGCCTCCTTATTCTAGGCACACTACATGCCAAGCATTTAGTTTCTAAATAAATAAGATTAAACAAAGCACTCCAGCATCTCAATAGCCCTAGTCAGCGGGATTCAGGCATGTGCTCTCTGTGAAACATTGATCCATGTGGGGAGTACGCTCCATCTTTGTGAAATTAAAATTGCCAGGATCATACAGCAAGACGTTGAAACACCTCTGCAGCCAACCCCCATCTTCAGAAGTGCTTTCAGCAACCTGCAGCTCACACAGATATCAGCATATGCTCCCCAGCTCTTCCAGAACAGACGATGAATCTATCAGGCTCTCTTGTTTTTACTTCAGGGAACTGTACAAAAGAGCAATGTTTTTTGGATGAAAGCCAGAGAAAAGCCAAAATGACGACAACAACTGTGTGAAATCCATAATTTCATGCTTTGTTGAGCTCCCTGGCTGCCCTTCCAGGACTCCTCTTTTGCAAGAATTATTTACTAGCAAATGTGGGCTTTTCTTTTTTTGTTGGATTGCAAGAATATTTTGCATTTATAGGAGACACTCAAAGAAGAATTAAAAGAAATAAAGGAGCTGATAAGCACCAAATATGTATCTTATTTTCAGATTTATTTATGTAAGAGATAGTATGAATGATTTCTTGTCAAACATTAAACAAAAGACTAGAAGTTGCAGTTTATTCATGCAATGCAGTGTTATACAAGCACTGAAAGTGACTGATCTCAGATCAGTATCAAAACACTTAAGCACTACATGACGATTACTCAGTGAAAATAAATTAGGACACTTGCATTAAAAATAGCAGTGTACAAATCTTTATTTTTTAATCGCTTCAACACTAGTTAGTTTGCTCTCCAGCCCCGATTAAAACATACAGAGGTAATTTTGATGAGTGTACATTCAACTTTACATCCTGAAAACCCCAAATTCTGTCTTCTTTGTAGGTGCATTTAATGCTGCACTGAGACTGAGGCCCAAAATCAGTCTTGTGTCAGCTGGATCAATAATTCCATCATCCCATAATCTAGAAAAAAAAAAATCAAACAACAATAATGAAAGGCAATCAACATGTACAGCAGGTAGATTTTCAAGCTCATAAAACTGGAAATTGTTAATACTGAAGAGAGTGAAATAAAGAGCTAAATTACACTTGAAGCCATGGAATTAATTCACGTTAACCATCAATGCAATAGACTGGTGTGTATTACTTTGTGGAATTTGTCATCTAGATCAAAGTATAAATTTTGCATAAATGAACAATATAATCACACGGGGATGATAGAAGTGTTTATTCTGTCATCATTAAAAGAGCTGGAGTAGATTTCAAGTATTTCCAGTATTGGATGTATTTTTTTTTATTAAGTCCATTTCTAAACAACTGTAAGATAATACCCTTCTTAACCCAGCCCTAAAATAAATTAAATTATGAATGAGCAACTACCAAATTCCCAAGTCCCCAAACTCACAAACACTTGTAAATCGTCTTTTTGATATTATCCAAAAATTAAAGTACTTGTGTCATCAGTTCTCAATGGCAGCTCCATCATACCCAAAATAAAATCCATGTCAAAATGCCCACCAGGCCACAAAACTGTAAATATATAACTACCGTAAAAACTAAACTGTTTTTATAAAAACTGTAAGTATATAACTACTACCTCCCCAGCAAGATACTTAAACAAGATACCACACTGCTCATTGCAGCCCAAGACTCATTTAAATAAGCATGCATTTTAATCAGTGTCTGCAAAACTTACGTACTGTATCTTTGTTTAAGCCAGTGATGCTCCTCCTCCATTAGGGAGACTTGTTTTGCATTCTTTTCTGAACTTACTTCAGTGTTGGCTAATGCTTAATTCTTTGTTTGTGGAAAATTTTAAAATACAAGAAAGGGTGATGAACAGGGAGCTAAGACTGACCCTATCAAGAGAAAGCATAGCCATTCTTTTCTAACCGAAGTTTCCCACTGCAAAGTGCCACCTGCAAATCTCTTATTGTTTGAACATTAATCTAAAAAAAATCTAATTAGACAGGGAATTATATATTTTGCACTCTTCTCTCAATAATAAATGTGCCAACCTCACCCCCAAAAGCAACAAGGCTGCAAACTGTACATAAATACACGCTGATAAGCTCAAGGCAGCAGGAGACACTTCTGAGTGTTTTCTGTCTTTGCTTTGTTTCGCCATTTGCTGTGCAAGTAATACTCATCACTCAGATAAAAATATTAAGAGACTGACAACATATGCTTTTTATTTTACAACAAATACATGTATCTACCCTAGGATGCACAAAATTAAATTTCAATAAAGGACGCCTTTAACAAGATGAGGCACGAGGGTTCAGACTCATCTTAAAAGCCTGTTCTCCAACTAGCAGAGAGAGAAGAAAAAAAGAGACCCAACTCAGAAAGAAGGTTCTACTATAAATATATCTTATCATGGTGCAGCTCCCATAGGAGAGGAGACTGTTACCCTAAACAAGGCATGACAGCACACCTGTACAAAAGGAGAAAAGAGTGTGGAGAAGGGAAGACTTTGCTGTTAATTGGGCAAAATTATGCGGTTCCTTTTTTGGGACTGAAAACAAAAGCTTGATTAAAGAAATTTTACACCACAGTAGCTGTGGCACTCACTGTCCTGGCTGACAGGTCCCAACCAGCATAAAAAGAAGTCTGGAAAAAAACCCACTTCTTTCAAAGGAAAAAAGAATATGCTATAAACCAAAATTACAAATATAAGGAAACTGTAGCTTTATCTAATCTGTTCTCATTTTAGGATTCTCAGTATCGCCTTTCTAGCAGGCTAGTAAACTGTGTGTTGGAATATTCTAACGTTGCGTCTACACAGAAGTGGTACTAACAGCAAAGTCTGTTGCAGAAGACACACAAAAATTGTCTATATCATATTCTGGATGAATTGCATTGTATAAACTCTTGCAATCTGGTTCCTGTAAATAACTCCTTTCCTAACTAGCTATGAATTCTAAGTAATAACGCATTAAAATATTTTGGTATATTTTAATAATACTCCATTGAAAAGAGACTCAGAGTAAGTGCTTCTTACCATACAGCAAAACCAATTAGAAGCTTTTTTTTGTTCAAAATAACCAAAGGATCAAGCATAACTTGGTTTTACTGAGACTTACTTAGGAGTTGTTTGAATTCTTTTGGTCTTCCCCAAGATAGTGGTTATTCTGTTCATATAATCTAGCATGACAGAATGGCCAGGAAAAAATATTTCCTATACTTGCAGTATCATGAAGTATGCATTAATAAAGTTTAATGCATATGAATTCTTGTATTCTAGATCCTGATTTAGTTTTGATTAATATAGCCAGATTAATCTGCAGAGAGGATAGAGAAGATCCCCATTAATAGTAAAAAGCAAAATAGTTTTGCAAGGTCAAATCAACCACAACCCCTTTGTTTTCTTTTGACTGTGAAAAAAACAACTGTGAGAACAATCTCAAACACAGTAATTTCTATTTTTAAGCAAATTTGGGTTTTTTGCCTCTTACTGGTTTGTTTGCCCTGCAGATCAACCTTTTTTTTTTAATTAACACTTGCAATTAGTTTTTTATTTATGAAATACACTGAAACTGAATGAAGGAATTAATACTTCTTAAAAGTGTTTAATAAATCTAGTAAGGGCTTGGGGAGAGCAGGGATGAACTGAATCCAAAAGAATCACCAACTTAATTCAGCACCTTCCAAGCTGCAACTTCACAGTGACCACCACTGTAACAAACACTTCCAAACATGAAGCACATTTTAATGGCAGATTTGTTTTTCTCTAACACAATTAACTTATATTGACAACCACAAAGATTTGATGTTGCATGGAAGTCAAGTTGCTTTCATATGGTCACCTCTGGCTTCTGCTTTTTTCAAAGAAAACTACATTCTCTACTGGGATGTAACATTAATAATTAAACTATCTATTAAAACCCCATTGCTAGAACATGAGTCACATCTACACTCATAAAATATTTGTAACAGAGACACTGTGAGTAAGAAAAATGAAGTCCCCCAAAGTAAAATGCTCATATAATTTGTTAAGATACAAACCGCTGAAATCCTTTTAGAAACCTGTAAGCAGATTAATATAACTCATTAAAAAGGGTGCTGCCTAATGACTGCCGTTAATTAAGACTGCTCACTGTGAAAGGTTCTAATCAAATAACTGATTAAAGTTTGATTAGAAAATACAACTGTGGGGAACAGTATTGACATCCTGTACATACAACAAGTTACAATTTATAAGGAAAATTATATAAGCAGAGTAAATAGGGAAATTTGCTTGTGTTTTAAGATCATTAGGGCATTTTCTTTCCCTCTTATTATTACTGCTAAAAGCTTGATTCAAAGCCTAATGAAGTCAACTGGAAGGGTCACGTCAATCTCAACGGACATTAGAGGTGAGGCAGTCTGGTCACTGTATCTTGGCAAGACGACTGTGTGAGGGAGCCTCCAAAGTGGCTGCACCCAAGCAGCGAGACAGACAGCGGTCTTTCCACCCATCTACCATTCTTCCCTCTCAGTAAGACAAAGCTGTTTGTTGGAATTTTCTTGTTGGTCCTTTTTGTGGACGGATCTAGTTAGCATCTGACAAAACCAAGGCCATACAGATTCAGTTTCAATACAGCACCCTGACATTTGGTTGATGGTCAACTGTTTTTTTTACGCTGCTTGGGACCAGACAGGAAGCATCCTTTAGAACAAAGGTAACAGGTTACTTCTGCTCCCTGATCTTTGGAGAATGCTTCTGTCAGCTGCCGATGCTGGCTGACAAATGGTTTGGCTACAAGGTACAAAGTGGCTAAATCCCTCCCTCAAGTACATTACTTGCTGCAAAGACTGTAATCCTCCTTCATCTCACTTTCTGCTTGGCCAGCCTACTCCACGCTAATGAACCCTTCCGAGCTATGAGTCTGAGATCTTGCTTAGGAATAGCAGTAAATGAAGGAACAAGGCATACATGTGCAGGAAGGCACAAAATCAGGACAGAAAATATACAAATATCTACCGATATACCAAATTATCTACAAAACAACAGAGAACAATTAAGAGCTCCTAAACAATGCAGACTGTATCTACATGGACTGAAGAGAGAGAGAATCTGGGCTGGACTCTCTTGACCTGAGCCAGTCACACACTGTTCTCAAAAGCACTCCTCACTGAAAATGGGCATTTCACTTTCTTTGCTTTTAGCCAGGTGAATCTCAGCAGGATTTCAGCTCTGCCATCTGACTTCATGTCTCAACTGGGCTTGTAGCTTGAGCACAGCACATGAACCCAACCACATGCAACCCAGAACCTATGCTAGTTCTCAGCCAACATTAAGTTTCCCTTCCAAGCTACAGGCACAATAAGAAGTACGTAACTACTCTGCTTTTTTAAGTGAAGGACAGGACACCTAGCATTAAGAGCACTTCCTAACCCCACAGACTAGCCCAACTCAGGCTATGTACTGAGGTGCCTTCTGGATTTGCAACCTAACTTCACAAAATGGCCAGATATTCTGGAAACATAAACTGGTAAAAGTTGCTCAGTAGAGAACACAAAGTTGGTGCTAAATACTCAGGTTTCATGTCTAAAAATGACTGGACATTATTAAAAATTTTGAATCTGACTTTTTAAAATTCTAGCCTTAATCTTACATGTAAAACTACTTTATTGCAGGTTAGTAACTTAAATACTGAAAATGGTCTGTTGGTTTTTGGGAGAGGGCAAGTTTTTATATCACTAATATACCGAATATATTGAATGTGAATTAAGTCCAATTATTTTCAATCTTGAGTACAAAGAGACTATGACTATGTTTCCAGTGTCCACATTAAAAAAAGCAAATGAAAAAAAAAAAATCAAACCATTCATTTTATCCTCTATAGTAGGAATTAATTTTAAATATAGACAGTTTCACTCATCTTTCTAATGTTATTATATCAGTGGAAAATTATTCTCTTTAAAATCCAGTTATAAAAGATGACAATCGATGTTTTCATTTTCCCTTCTTGCTTCATGTGGTACAAGGTTTTGTGACACAGGTACTAGGCTTGATCTTTAAGTGGTACTAAAAGAGATAGCACAAAAGTTTTCAATAGCTGACATAATCTCTCAATTTGGGGAAAACCCAATGAAATGTAAATAAATTAAAAACATAAAAAAAAAAATCAAAACCAATGTGCCACCAGAAAGTCAATGTCAGTAATAAACAATTCAGGATTTCACAAAAGTATCTTTGCTGATTATACATAAAAACCCAAATAAACCGTAACTTAGTAGCAGTAGGGGTTGTACACATGCATAAAACCTCAAAACGTTGAGAATATCTATGACTCTCTGCAACACTGCCACATAGGCCTATGCCAGAAGCAGAGACCAAACAGACTAAAACTCTCCCTGAATTCACGACCCACATGCTATATGACTGCAGCACTGAAATCTGCCTAGATGATACCACAAACCCCATGCAACATATCCTACTGAAAATACCTATGTCATCACAGCACCAACTAGGGCAAAATGGCAAGAGTTTCCATGTGATGAAGCCAGTCATTTGAATAAATATTAACATTAATATGGATCCCCCCGGTACAATTATTTCAGTTAAGTTCATTCCACTATCCCAACAGAAAACAGAGGAGAAGCTACCATTAATTTTATATGTTCCTTCAGATCATGACAATTCATAAAGGAGCTCACTGACTCTATGCTACTGCTGTTGCTGGATCAGATTTGTCATACATAAGATTAAGCAGCTATCAAGTTAGACAAAAAGGCCTCCCCTCCTTCTCTATGACATTGACAGAGTATCTTCCACCCATCTGTTCACATAATTTCTGCCCACGATACCCACATCAAAATCTATCATATTCCAACCACTCTGTACTCAGTTTGTTTTCAGACTTCCCAGCTTGGAGGTAAGAAAACCATCAGTAACTCTAATTCAGCTACACAAAAACATACATGGACTCCACAGTTGTATGAGACTAATATTCTTTCTGCAATATGAGAAGCCACAGAAGCACAGTAAAGCCCTGTTATTATATGCTCCCCTCTACCATCATTAACAGCTGAGAGCCTGTGGATAATTAGTTTTTGGATACCACAAGCGAAAAAATGTGCAGTATGATAGATAGGATGAAACTAATGTAGAGTAACAATGAGAAGCCAAGAAAGACTCCAAGGCAGTTTCCAGAGGTAACACTCGAGCATGCCACCTTGCTTCATTAGCCTAAGTAGTTCCTGGGCATTTACTAGTATTCCATAAACCTGAGAACAAAAGTCCTGCAAAGGACTTCTCAACAAACATGAATATGCTGCAGCCATCAGCTAATGCCTTACCCAAACTTCTGTCATTCAATACAGTCTCCTACCAAATCATGACCTGAGATTTGCAAATGGCTTCAGGTCTCCCTGAAACTTCTCCTTTATCACTGGCCTCTTCTACTTGCAGAATCCCACGAATAGGAATTCTTTCTAACGCACATGCAGCCACCCATTACACTGTTCAATGGGTTTTAGAAACTACACTGGAGAGAATGAATCCAGAATAAAATACATAGAATATAAACTCCATGCTACCGTATCATTGCTTACGGAACCAGTAGAATAATTCTTGCAAGTGGATGCCTTCTTCTGAAACAGTACATATTACAAAGTCTCAGAAAAAAGAGACAAAAAGATCGATTTGAAGCTTGTTGCGTTGTACTCCTGCACATCAAACACAGCTTTTTTTCCAGATTGCTCTGTTCTGCTGGTCTTCAACACCAAGATTTAGAAGTTACTGTTATGTACTGTGATCACAATTAAGTTTTGGAAAAGCCATTTATATGTTACCTTGCACTGGAATAATAAGGGTTTCCTTCCTCCTCGAACCTCCTAATGATTGGCTCCTTCAAAGCTGCTTCATCTGCCTCTGATAACTAAAAAAACCAGACAAATAAACAAACACAGGTAAGATATTCTTTAATTTCTCCCTCCACAGAGCTTTATACGCAGCATCAAACTAGAAGAAACTGTCTAAATGATTTCCCCAGTTTTTCCCCCTTTTACCCACAATTATCAATTTAGCATATTTGTCAATTAAATTAAAATAACACTTTTCCAAGCAGGTAGCTGTGAAAAGGAGAGTAAAAATATTCATCACTGAGTATAAGAATAATTGGGGATTAGCACCCGAAAAATTACTGATGCTACTGTACTGAATAAACCCTGTTCTGAGTTGCCTTTGCCAAGATTTTTTAATAAAACATGTCCGTGCTGTTCTAACACTCGATTTGTCTATGATCCAGAGTGGTCACCACTGTAATTCAGAAAAATTTCAAGTTTCTGACACATTTTACTGACATTAACTACAATTCCAACTTCTTTCTGAGTGTCATTCTGTCCATCTTAGGGATTTGGGAAATTAAGACAGAGAGAGACGAGAGTGAAAATATTCTATTCACAGAAAGCCCAAGTAAAGCACAGAAGAAAGAACTGTTGAGATAACATGTCCATACTGCTGCATTATTCTGAATAATTACTCATCAGAAATACAAGCAATTTTAAGACTTCACAATAATATAACTTCTTAAGGGACCAAGGCACTAGTACAAACACAAACCATGTAATTTAAAAAACACAGCAGAAGACTGTACAGAGAAAACAAAAAATATTATTAAACAAAATCCACTAATTTTCAGTTAAAATGTTGAAATTATTCAAAACCTTTTTGAAACCTCTGCAAACTTCTGCTGTTACAAGTTTCATAATTCTCAAGTCACTGAATAATTTGAAGATAAAGCTTTCTATGAAACTGCCTACTACAAAAGTAACTGAGAAGACACTTTGTTCTCACACATTCTTTCTTGTATTCCCAAACCAGAGAGGATTACTGCCTGCTCATCTTGGGCAGAACTAATAATCTGGAGCACAAAATATAAAAATATGATGAGATGAGAAATATGCCTCTTTTTAAGCAAAGACAAGAAATGGCATGAATGGTCTTCACATTTAGAAGATGTACACAGTATTTCACAAATGCTTCATGTTTGTCAATGCACTTGGGAGTATCATAGTTCATTGGCGTCTCACTCTGTAACATCCTTTCCTAGCTCATACAGTGAGTAACTCCAGTGAAAGAATAAATGATAATGACATTACTGCAAATGAAAGAAGAAAGATGTACCTGTTTTCCCTCCCTTGCTTTTTGGTCCTTAGCTATGGTAGCTAGAACAGTTGCAGCTTGTTCCCCTCCCATCACTGATATGCGAGCATTTGGCCACACATAAAGAAATCTTGGACTGAAAAAATACATAATAAATACTAAAATAAGACATTGCCTTATTTCCTAGTAAAGAACTAACTCTCACTCAGCTAATAACTCATTTTTATGTATGACAATCTTACAATGTACTGTTTTTTAAGGAATGCAAATTAACATATTTCAATGCTTGCAGCATTATGTTTGAAAATGCGAAAATTCTGCTCACTTCCTATATTCAAGCACTTCAAAAATTTATTTCTCTCTTTCTTGAGTATCTTCATCTCACACAACCCCCCCAGAATTTTTCTCTGTAAAAATATCACCAACAACTTCAACACTATCAGGGATCTTGAAAAATTAAACACAAAAATAATGTGAATAGTGTCCAAAGTGTCAGAAAAATAAATCCTCTGGGGTTCTGCAAACACTACTCATAAAAACAAGCTCACTAAAATGAATAAGGATTTTTTTATACAAGCCGATACTCTTCATATGAACTCAAAACAAAGGACCAGCTCATACTGCCTAATGACTGTTTAGGACTGCATAATTCTTCCTCCAAGAGCTAAAATGGGAACAAAGCATGTCAACACATTTACATGCTAGAAGATCTCCTCCATTACCTAATTCAAGGTTAATCATGAGCCTATCAATCTCTACAGGTTTGTCAGGTTGTTATTTACTTATGGCCGTATTCACTGAGAACTGTTTGTTTTCCAAATAGCACAACTTCTGCAAGTTTAGACAGTTTTTCAGAATGGCACTTTAAGGTTTATGTTCTCTTAACTTAGATCTCCTGTCATAACTTGAAGTAACACTTACCTGTATGCTCTTCCACACATCCCATAGTTTCCAGCTCCGTAAGAACCACCGATAATCACCGTTATTTTAGGGACATTGGCACAAGCCACAGCAGTTACCATCTTGGCACCATCTTTTGCTATCCCTCCAGCTTCATATTCTCTACCAACCATGAAACCTAAAGAATTACAACATGAAGAAAAGGCTCTGTAACTTTATATTCTTATACTGTGCTATATGTCATACTATGTGCTTTACATCACAAGCAGAAAAAAATTAAGAACAAATCATAAGGCAAAGCCTTCACCAGCTGCTGACAGGTCAATTTCAGAACAGGCTGCAGACACAGGTAAAACAAAGCACACAAGATGCTGTCTAAAAGTCACAGCCTCAACAGTTAACAGAAAGACATCGTGAAACTTCAAAATATTGAGCTTATTCACCTGTAATATTCTGCAAAAACACAATGGGAATATTTCTCTGGCAACACAACTGGATAAAATGTGTACCCTGTGGAGAGGAAAGAAAAATAATAATAATAAAAAAAGAGTAAACCATTTCAAGTTGGATCAGTGAAGCTCTCACTACCAGCACTGTGAAGTCTGTGGCAAGTCTTCTTCTACTGAAGTCCATGGGAGTATTTGCATCATGAAGTGCTGTACGACTTGTTTCATCCAAAATCAACTGCAAAACATGCATTAACTCTAGCAGAAGTAAGAAAATGCCAAAAACGTGTGAGTCCAAGGGTAAAGCAGAAATAATATTGTTAAAAAGCATTACTGCTGATATTGAAAATCTCAACTGTTTTGACTCAGACAGCATGTAGCTAAACCACAGGCATCTGACATCGAGTTTTGTAAGACTGTGTCATGGAAATTGAGACAGCAGGTCAGAAAAAAATATCTCCCCATTTCCTGTACAAAGGAAAATGATTCTCTGAAATTGGGAAAGGCCCACACATACATTTATTTGCTCATGGCCCTGCCCATTCCTCTAACGCTCTTTCCGTTTTCTCAGGGCAGATGCCCTCTCCTCATTTCCTAAGAAAAGACCATTTTCCTAGCAAAGACAAAAATAGTGGATTCCAAGCTTCTGTTTCAACTAGAAACAATCTAAATCAATAAATCTCAGGTTATTTGCACACTGCCAGTAAAAAACCAAAAAGGTATGTAGCACAGCAATGGAAAAAACCTCTAAACTCTTCACAACACAAAACCAGCAAAATTTAAAAAAAAAAAAAAAACAAAAAACAAACCAGAGAGAAAAATCATAAAGCATAATCTTCAGCTAGCTTTTTCAGAGAAGCACTTCAAAAGCACAGTGATGATCATGGGAAAAAGATGTGTCACAATTCATTACAAAAATGTGAAAGAAAAAAAAGGAATATTGTTAGATTACGATGCTTGTAAAAGCAGCATCATGGACAAAGGTCTCTCTATAAGCAAAGTAAGTGAAACTTGACCATCTCCTTTTACAGTGCAGATACACCAACAGAAGTCAACAGAGGAAGATTCCTTAAATTTTTTTCATTGGTAGGAAAAATGTTGCAGCACTAAATTATCATGAAAATACTGAAAGTATTAGAAATACTGAAAGACTTATTTTCCACTTGGAAATACCTGTGTTAAAACAAATGCTAGCAGAAAACAATGTCACTTATTGCAGTGCTCCAAGTTGAAAATATTCCTTCAGTACACGAAACTCAATTTTGTGTATTATTTTATTACAGCAATAAATCAAGTAAAATTACTTCCTTTCTCCAATCTTTCATATAGATTTTCCTATATATCTTTTTCCTATAGATTATCAATACTGATTTCCTCATTATTAGTTTGAGGAGCCTGCTAGAACAAACCTACCATATATAACTGCTATTACAAAAAATTCAACTGACAATAGTTTCTTGAAAAAAGAACTAAACCAAACAACATAAACAAGGTAAGTAACCACTCTGCCATACCCAGAAACTCCATCACCACCAATCCCCTGAGCCCAATTTGTAAAGCACTGTTAACTGTAATGCAATCACAATATTCCATCAAAGACGCCCTTTAATTCATGAAACAGTTATTTTAGCTCACAGATTTTATGAGACTGCCCACATTTTCACTCATTAATCTACACCAGGAGCTGCCACAGCAAAGTATGAAAATTAAATCTCTAGTAAACCAATGAGCAGAGTACTGGAACGCAGGTTTGAAATTTTGCAGTTATTACAAAAACAATGATGTGATTTCTTGTAGTACTTCACAGTTTACAAATTAGGAATTATAACTAGCAGGGTATTTTATGCAACCAGCATGGACTTTTCTTGGAATAGCTGTTAGTTTCAGGATATACCATTTCAACTGTGTTGTTGTCACACTAATTCAAACGCAGTTTTTCTAACTGTATTTTCCTATTGACCTACCTACATCATATTAGAAAAATCTAGTGAACACTGTTTCTAGAATATGGTCAGGGTTTTTTACAGCTTATTAAGCTATTTCATATTTACATGAAAAACATGGAGCCAGTCCACTTTCATTGTTTAAAATGTTTCTCTTTTCAAGAGCTGTCCACCAGAAGTTTTGTTTCTCAATGGCAAAGAAGCTAATAATCTATTTACCTTTTTTGCTGACTCTGAGAAAAGAACTCCATTGTTTCCAATAATTCCTACTGGATAACCAAATATTCTTGCAAATCCTGAAGGAGAAAGATAAATTTGTAAATTTTCATATATATTTATTTTACCATAGCATCTACAGGAAACACTTTACCTTGGTAACAGAAACTGCTATTCTTCTGAAGAAAAACATTCTTAAAAAAAAATTAAAAATATAATGGGCGAGGCAAACACAGTGAATGAAAATATAAAACCAGAGGGAACATACACAGAATAATTATATTTCTAAATACCTGTAATTAAAGTTTCCCCATACAAGGCCTTGAATTCATCAAATTTACTTCCATCTACAATTCTAGCAATGACCTTAAGAAAAAACAGAATAATAAAATGAAATCCCTAATCCTTCATAGTTTTTAATTTGTTTAGAAAGAAAGACCATGCTAACATATAATAAATGCTTTCCATTTAGAGAACATCAAGCAGCCCACTGTATAAATAGCCTGAATGGCAGGCAAAGCCCATTTACTCTTTAAAGTGTGATTTATCTCCATGTCTTTAAAAACTGTAATTTCAAGATACAGAATATTCTAACCAGATAGTTTAAACTATACAAGAACAAAGTTTTCCTGATTAGTTAAATTTCAAAGAAAAACTGCTACCTCTGGTTATATTAAACATTAATCAGTAGACTCACATTTATAAAGAGAAAAACATATATAGCCATGAGTCACTTTCTTAGAGTTAAATTTATTTTCAGCTTTGCTTAAGTTTGTGACATACAAAAATAGGGAAGATCTGTTCTGAGGTTTCGCTGAGATGCAAAGCAGCCATTTTATATAAATACAGATCCATTTCTAGCAAGACATTTGCCAGAAGATACTTATTTCAACTTTAAAATAACATAAATCCCAACTATTACAACTTTCAAGAGTGTAGTGTGAGACTCAATAAAAGTGTTCTTTTTCTCCCTTAATGCAAAGAAGATCCTAGTAATTTCTGCCAAAGTATTTTAAGAAAAGTACCAGCTAAGACTCTTCCTAAAATAAATACTTCATTGGAAGTCAAAAAGGCTCTGAATATGGGATCTACGCAAAATATGAGAAAGGATGTGGTCTCAGATGAAGGTACTGAGGCAAATAATTACACTAGACCTGCAGTAGAGTACAAGAGTCTCCAGATTTGGCTGGGATAGCACCGAATTGTTTGAGGTGCTTATACTCCATAAATCTTTACATATGTGATCTTTACTTTCACAGGATTAACAGAAAAAGAAAGCTATTATATCACTCGGCAAGTCTACAGAACACTTTGCCAATGCATAGTTCCATGTTTCCTGGCAGCTTTATCAGAATACTATCAATCTGTCATCCTTACTCATCCTTCTTAGAAGTATAACCAAAACCCATTATACTTTCAACATGTCATTGGCAGTGCAATGGATCCGCTGGACAAAAACATAAAATAAAAAAAGTTAAAACATTTAATGAAATTTAAATATCCACTATATACTCCGTATCAGAATTCTGTAGACAAACTATGATGAGATAAAGAGTGATTTCCTGCAAGAAAACTCAGTACGTGCATGTATGGGCAAGCAGTTCTTGCATTTATATTCATACCTCTTTGACATCAAAGTTTCTTTTTAGCTGGTCGCCAACTATTCCATATATTTTTTTTAGGCTCTTCTGATGGTTCTATAGTCACCTGTACCCATTTAACAAAACAATTTACACAACAAAGGAATTATTAGTCGACGTTATTAGTTAAAAAAACAAACAACAATTAATTTGCCAACTGCTCTGAGCACAGTCTTCTCCTCACCAACCACATCAAAATACTTGTACTGGCTTGTCCTCGTTTTGCATAAAGACCAAGTTTCTTAAACTGAAGATTGGTTAACACTTCTCACTGTTACCTTTGTTTCTACTCCTGCATATATCGCCATATGTGCTCCACTTCTTCCATGTTATCAAAAATTAAGCATGTCCTCCCATTTGCTTATGTCCTCCCCCATATGCTATCCATCCTGTGTTCTACAAGGTATTTTTAAATCAACATAATACAATGACATGATTTAGGTCTATCCCCTCAGTTTTACACTTTTAATTAACAATGAAAATGGGTATTCGTAAAGATGCTTTAGCAGGTATCTAATTTTAAGTCCACGGGAATGATCATGTGGGCTTAAAATTAAATTAAGCACTTTGGAAGACTGGGTTTATCTTAAAGTGCAATTCTGTGATTCTGAAACACTGTTCTAGTTGCTTCACTCCTGCATGTAACCCCAGGGATTTTGCTACCAATTAATGTAACTGCAGAACTGAAACATTAGAGAAATCTTTAAGGACTAGAACCATAAATTCTATTTTTCAAAGTGTTTAAAATCAGAGGTAAAAAAGTGTGTTGTATAAATCAGGAGAAGAAAAAAGCATTCCTAATTTAAACAATGCAGTGTTTTCAGATTATATACACTTACGTCTACTTTCTTTTGGAGATTTAAACTTCTTACAGCTTTCCTCGCTAGATGAAGTGCATGATTGTCATCCAAAGCATAATGATCTGTTACACCAGATTTTCTGCATATAAATAATAACAGCAATAGGAAGACTTTAAAAAAAATCTGACAATGAAAATCTGAGGTTTTAAAAACCTTTAAGATTTTAAAAGTTTTATATTTATTATACGTTTTGTTATGGAATTACATTCAAAATAAAACCCATGCCTGAACTTTTCTTTGAAACAGTACACTCAAGTTATCAGACAGGACATAAAATAGCAGCTCTAGGAAACCAAAAATCTAAATAACAATATAAAAGATGACAAATATGGTTCAAATGTAAGTTAAAATACATTTGGAACTATAAGGAAAACATATGTTTACAACAATGTTATGACCTGCCCTTAAAAGTAGTTCTTTATTCACTTCAGCAAATTGAAGCAAAAATTGAGCATTTATTGTACAGTAATACCTAATTTACTGTAGAGTAACGCCTAATTTTGTTTACTATTTTAATTTTAGAACTAGAAAGTGTGTATAATTCTTAGTTCTGATAACAAGTACTCTCTTAAAAAAAAGACACAAGCTATTTTGATCTTGTTTGTATTAAGTTCTAATTGACAGCAAGAAAGATCCAATCTACAAAATATATTATCTTTCTCAATGTGTATTGTTCTATTAACATTCAGTATTAAACAGCATAGAAAAGTCCTCCATACTATAAGTGATACTGCAGTAGTACATTAGACACAGAAGTATTTTGAAGTAGGAAATGAAGGAAACAAGATCCTAACTAGAGTAACATAAGGTAACTACACTACTTTAACAACAGAATGATACATCAGCACCAGATAAGGGCACAGAAAATCTTATTTTTCAAAATCTAAATAAAAGACCTAAATATAAAATAAGTTAAAAATAAAATAAAATACACCCTATTAAAGTCTAAACACTGGAAGAAATTAACTCTGGGAAAATATTTCTTTAAACCTGCAGTGAAGATCTGCCCCTCCAAGATCCTCTGCTGATACCTCTTCACCTGTTGCTGCTTTAACCTACCACAAGAAAAGGAAAATGAGCTTTAGAGTTTACACTTGTCTTGATTAATATTTATACTGGCTTAGTTACAGCAATGAAAGAGATCTTTGCAAAAAATGCTTCTTCATTAATAATATTTCCTCAGTTACTCTCCCTCAGAGCATTTAAAAAGAGACAACACAGAATCCTGTCAAAATTACTTAATTTCTCTGTCTTTATTCTAGCATTAATACGTAGTTTTATTGAGAAAGATTATCCACTTACTGTTGTATTTACTGCTGTGTCCATTATTAGTGTGAGTATACTTAACACATCCCTTAGATTTATGGACATGAACTTTCACAAATCTTTTTTTATGAGTTAACAAGCAAGTGATACTTTCCCGCATTATTTCAAACAAACAATACCTCAGTTGAAACTTAACATTCTTTGACTTTGCTTTCGCTGCACAAACTTTTCTTCTGTGAATTTTAACTTGCTTATTTGAATATTAATAATAAAATATTCATTAGCAGTTTTTATCTTCTAAATCTTCCATTAAACACACAGCAATTTAGTAAGAATTGTTTTCTTAAAATAAGCATGTTAATGGCATAAAACTGTCCAGACCAATTATGATGTCTCCATAAAAACACCTGAAATGCACAATCTAAATCCTGGATCTGTCAAATCTTTGATCTGACAGGATAATTCAAGAGTGAGTGGACTCCTTATTAAAACAAAGCAGTATCATTTACTGCATAGCAAAAATAACACTTCTTGATGGATTTCCACCCTACTGTAACTGCTTTCAAAAGGATTCCTTGCAAGCTGGTGAAACCATTATTCATCACGTGCAGAGAGTACATAGGTAGCGTAAGAGACAACAGAAGAGAAAACCAGCATCATTATTAAAATAAAGTTTCTGTCAGAGACATTAATTTTAGTCTTCATTAAACAACAATCAGAAGAGCACACTTTTAAGATAAATTAGGAAAAATTTCTTCACCAAAAGGGTTGCTATGCACTGGAACAGCCTGCCCAGGGAAGTGGTTGAGTCGCCATCCCTGGAGGTATTTAAAAGACGTGTAGATGTGGCACACAGGGACATGGTTTGTGGTGGACTTGGCAGTGCTAGGTTTACAATTGGACTCAACGATCTTAAGGGTCTTTTCCAGCCTAAATGATTCTATTCTATGAGCCTATGGAATAATTCTATATACCTTTCTTTATGCACCTGACACAGTATGCAGCTCTATTGTGATTCTGTGACTTCTATAGAACTTTGAACAAATCTGCATAGAGCACTGATTTCTATTAGCACAGAAATCTAGACGCTCATTTTAATAAACTTTACAAAAATGGCTTTCTTCCTCTTCCACAGAGCTGAAGTTGTCCTTCTCCAAATCACAGAATTGGAGTTGTGGAATCTGTCAGGGCACATTGCTGGCTCACGTTCAACTTTGTGTCCACTGGGACCTATAGCGCCTTTTCTGCCAAGCATCTTCCCAACTCATGGGTTCCCAGACTGTTCTGGTGCCCAGGATTACTCCCTCCAAGGAGTATTTGCCTATTGTGTCTAATTTCAAAAGGTTTCGTTCAGCCCCTTTCTCCAGTCTGTTGAGGTCCCTCTGAAAAGCAGCACAATCATCTGCTCTACTAACCACTCCTCACAGGTTTTCATCACCTGCAAATGTGCTGACAGTGAACTTTGGACCACTGTCCAGATCATCAGTGAAGATGTTAAACACTATTCGCCTGAGTACTGACCTCTGGGGTCTACCACTAGTGACTGACCTCCAACTTGAGCCCAGCAGTTCAGCCAGTTCCCAGGCCCACTGCCCATTTTATCCAGCCTGTACTACATCAGTTTGTTGAGGATTTTACAGAAGACAGTGTCAAAAGCCTTGACACAGTCAACATAAACAACATCCGCTGCTCTCTTTGCTTCCACAGAGCTGGTCACCTCAGCATAGACAGCTATCGGTTTTGTCAGGCCTTATTTCCCCATTGCAAATCCATGCTGACTACTCACAGTCACCTTCTTGTCTGTAGTACTTTTGGAAATAGCTTTCAGGATTATCTGCTCCATCACCTTCCTGGGTACTGCAGTGCAATAGAGCATTTTACAAACCAAAGTTTAAACAGTACTAACCTTCTTAAAGTTCATTCAATTCTAACAGACTGCAAATAAAGCCTTTACAAGATGCATGGATATTTTCGAAGAAATCCCTGTTCAAGCTACTTCAGCTAGCAATGATCAGCAGAAATGAACACAAATTTCAGATAAAACATGCATTTCCCACAATAGATCAGGCTGACATGTAGAAGAGTCCCCAGCACATAAATATACACTAATTTGACAAACTTATCCCTTTTAACCAGACTTTCCTTCACCGCTGAGCATAGAAAGTAACAAATTTTCCCTGTGGAAGGAAGAATCAGAAGTTTCTGCAATGGGAGGGAAAAGACCACAGGTCAACAGGGCATGATGAGCTACCACGTAGTATTGCCAAAGGCGAGGATATAGATCCCTCAGCTTGGGGAGCTGCACAAGAACTTACTACTGACATCTCACCTGTTCATGAAATCTTTACTCCTCGTCTCTCTAAAAAGGCAGCCAAGGAAACTTGCACTTTCGACTTTGGACTGTAGGGGCAATTCACTTTTTTATTAGCGTACACATCCCAAGAGCAATTATAACTAACGTCAGGGATTTTCTTTCGGTTCCTTAGTATGTTTTGTTTTGAGTGGGTGAGCAATAAAATCCAATCCAATGTTCTTCATATAGGAAAAGACATTTTGGGGAACAGACCATACACAATAATGGCTACAATATCTGCTACAACATGGAATGGAAGTTTCTATGGGAGTCTGAAGTAATTTTGATGCCTAGAGAAAGGCAAGCGAAACATTTTCAGTGAGAATATGAAAAGCTCTACCAAACAGAGAAGCTGACAGCTAGTGATATTAAAGTTTGATCTACACGCACGAAGATAAGGATCATTACATCCGCAGGTTGCTAAGGAACAAATTAAATTGGAGGATAGTTGTGAAATCTTCCTCTGGAAGCGGTGAAAAGTTTTCCTCCTTTTTAACTTCACAATATCCTTGCTGCCACTGACTTGCCTAGCCTAGTCTTCCCTTTGAGACCAGAATCAGGCCACTCTTTTTCAACTGCCTATCCTGGCAAAAGTCTCCTGCGCTACCTCTCGGTGATACACATGTATGACCCCAATTCCCTTGTGATGTTAAATGATTACCATCCTCTTAGAATGAGAGAGTCTGTTTCCCCTTTTTTCAGCCCAGTAGCACTGGGTATTAGCTCTCTTAATGCTTAATGCTGGACCTTAAAACAAACTCTAAGTTTTGAGCAGGCTCTCCAGCACATATTACTCAGTGCATCCAAGGGGACTCCCATGGTCTGATGAACCATTCCAGCTCAAACATAGCTCCAGGCAGAATCACTCAAGGTGCACAGCACTCCCCAGCACTCTTGCAAAGGAAATGCTATGTCAGAATTGCTGAGTTTGCTCAGGTCTTTCAGATTTATTGCCTGAGGTTCTGCAACAAATCACTCTGAACCTAAGCAAGCCCCAGAGGCAGTACTGCCAGGGTATATGCCACTGGCTCTGAGCTAATAGCCCTAGACCTTGTACTTAGACAGCTCAGGTGTTCCTGCAACCAGGGCAGTTATTTGTAACACAATAACCGAGTTAATAACCTTCTGATGTAAAAGTTCATTACTTTCATCATACTAATTTCCTCATCTCAATAAAAACATGTGTGAATCACCCAGTGTTACTCACTCAACTAATATCTTCATTCATATTTATGCCACTTTTCACCAAGAAACTCATAATATCTAAATTAGTGATAAATTTACAGAAAAATGCTTAATTTTCAGGGAGGATTTGTCTTTGTTTACCTATAAACAACAAGCTGAAAGAGACTAATACAAGATAAAAAGGAACAGAGACGTGGGTAAGCCGCTTGAAACAATTACTGCCAAAGAAATTCCAACCGATAAAGAAATTCAAGAATTCAAAATTCTAATGAGCAGTAAATAAATTAGTGTTAAATGACATAGTTGTTATTAATTACTTCATCTGCTTTTGCTGATTACTCTGCTCTTCTTGTCAACTTGGAAAGCCTACACTGAAACAATAAAACGCTTCAGGTTAAATGTGTTATTTTACTATAATAGACAACAAAGTATCCTTGTAATTACAGGTGTGTGTGTCCCCTCTGCTTTCGATATGCCAGTTACATTATGAATTTATTTAAGATGTTCTGGAACAGTAATTAGCGTTTATCAGCCACAGAAGAGAAAGTCTACATAAATTATAAGACTTTTTTTTTTTTTAAAGCTGCACAAGAATTTAAAATCCATCTATACACTGAATTTTGGAAGAAAAAAAGGGTATAAAATGCTAAATCCACTTTTAGCAGCAAGATGACACAGTAGGGAAAAAACACCCTAAAGTAAAAGAAAAGAATGAAATGCAAACACGTACTGTGGAAATGAGAGCAGTGATAAACAAGTAATCACTAAATGACATCACAGGTATGTTCTTCATGCTTTTAAGAAATTAACACAATCATGCCTTAGGAACTGGTCAACAAAAAAAATCTGTCAGTGGTTGTCTTCCCACAGTTTACGGGACCTGCTACACCTTCCCAGTATCTTAAGTGGTGGAAAGAAGTGACTTCCAGCACACTGCCCCCTCCTCCATTACTACAGGAATTGTGTGGCGCAGTATCTTCATTAACCGTGCTGTTAGAAAGTGACTCTTCATTTAGGCCTGCTCAACTTGGAATGGCTTTTGAGAGACATTTGATTTGCAGTTGGTTTTGTCACAGGAAGCATGCCTAAAAGTTCCCAAAAGACTATAATCAAAACAGAGCACACGTGCTGCCTTAGAACAGTTTGTTCAAGGAGACAAATATTTGACAATTTCAAAAAAGCAAGTTCATCCAGTCAGACTTCACTGAGAATAGAATTGTTGTGCTGGGTGCTGCCCTACCTGTTAGCTCTGGCGCTAACATAACATTTCCTACAGGAAATTCCTTTCTTCGCATAAAGCTTGTGTTAAGTAAAATAATCTTTGTTAGCAAAGATTATTATTTGTATTGCTATTAAACTGAGCCTACATTAGAACATATGCTGGTACAGCTGTTTTTAAAAAAATAAACCTCACTCAAGCACTCCCTTTTCTGTCGGAGCCAAGTTACTATAACTTTGAAGCTGTCTTAGGCTGCAGTATTTTGCACAGTCACAAATTGCACTTTTAGTTCCACAATAAGGCAAGTCTATCCCACTGACCAGAAACAGGGAAACACAACCCCCATTTTCAAGAAGGGTAAAAAAGAAGATCCAGGGAACTACAGGCCAGTCAGTCTCACCTCTGTGCCTGGCAAGATCGTGGAGCAGATCCTCCTGAAGGCTCTACTAAGGCACATGGAAAATGAAGGACAGGTGATTGGCAACCAGCACGGCTTCACCAAGGGCAAATTAGGCCTGACAAACCTGGTGACCTTTTATTATTGAGTTATGGCATCAGTGGACAAAGGAAGAGCAACTGACATCATCTACCTGGACTTCTGCAAAGTGTTTGACACTGTCCTTCATGACATTCTGGTGGCCAAACTGGAAAAATATGGATTTGATGGATGGACCAGCCCCTGGAGAAGGAATTGGCTGGATAGTCGCACTCAGAGAGCTGTGGTCAACGGCTCAGTATCTAAATGGAGACCAGTGACGAGTGGCATTCCTCAGGGATGGGTGCTATTTAACATCTTTGTTGTCGACATGGACAGTGGAATCTAGTGCAACCTTACCAAGTTTGCCAATGACACCAAGCTGTGTGGTGAGGTCGACATGCTGGAGGGAAGGGATGCCACTGGGAGTGACCTGGACAGGCTTGAGAGGTGGGTCCATGCCAACCTCATGAAGCTCAATAAAGCCAAATGCAAGGTCCTGCATGTGGGTCAAGGCAATCCCAAATACAGGCTGGGCGAAGAATGGCTTAAGTACAGCCCTGAGGAGGACTTGGGGGTGTTGGGAGATGAGAAATTGAACATGAGCCAGCAGTGTGCGCTCATGGCCCAGAAGGCCAACCGGATCCTGGGCTGCATCAAGAGAAGCAGGTCGAGGGAGGTGATTCTCCCCCTCTACTCTCCTCTTGTGAGACCACACCTGGAGTACTGTGTCCAGGTCTGGGCCCCTAAATGCAAGAAGGACGTTGAGCTGTTGGAGCGAGTGCAGAGGAGGGCCACAAATACGATCAGAGGGCTGGAACACCTCTCCTATGAGGACAGGCTGTGAGAATTGGGGTTGTTCAGCCTGGAGAAAAGAAGGCTCTGGCGAGACCTTATAGCGGCCTTCCAGCACCTGAAGGGGGGTACAGGAGAGATGGGGAGGGACTTTTTACTGGGGTATGCAGCAACAGGACAAGAGGTAATGGATCTAAACTGGAAGAGGGCAGATTTAGACTAGATAGTAGGAAGAAACTCTTTACTGTGAAGATGGTGAGGTACTGGAACAGGTTGCTCAAGGAAGCTGTGGATGCCCCATCCCTGGAGGTGTTCAAGGCCAGGCTGGATGAGGCTTTGAGTAACCTGGTCTAGGGGGAAGTGTCCCTGCCCATAGCCAGGGGGTTCAAACTAGATTATGTCTAAGGTCCTGTAAACCTAAACTATTCTATGATTCTATGATTCTAAGATGTTTTAATTCACAGCACTTCTTCAGGTCAGTTTCCTTAGAAACAATTTTCTTACTAAGAAAGTAAGGAAATTATTAAAAACTACTTTGTAAGTGCATCTCATTTGTCTGGAAAGTGACATAAAATACAGCAGATCAGTCCTGCTTCCGAAGTTCTCTGATCTTGACTCTGAGATAGAATATATATGCTTGTATTTTTTTTTTTTTTTATTTCAAGTCAAACCTAGAGACTACACACTTGAATACAGAAAGCATTTTTATCATGTAAAATATGCATGGTCATCTAAAAGCAGTACTATAAAAACACCTTAATGAAGTCTGACTTATATATACACCTATAACAGATAGAAAAGATTTAATTTAGGATATAAACATTAAGACATACTTAAAAAATGCAAACTGATCTACATAATATCTGGAAATATCTCACCAAGAAAAGTCTCAATAGTTTAAGCTATACAACTGTGATTAGCACAGATTTTTTTTTTGGACTATGTTACTAGAAACTTCTGTATCCTTACCAATGGTGGCCCTCCCAAGAATATTGTTCCTTGTTTGCCAACAATAATACTTTCATCAGCCATCGCAGGTACGTATGCTCCTCCTGCTGTACAGGATCCCATTACTACTGCTATCTATTGGGAAAACAAAAAACACAAGTTAATGAATTGTCCAACCCCTAAAAATAGCAAAAGCACATGCTACCATTCTATATTGCACTGATTTTAATACACGCTCTGGGACTGCACCGCCAAGATTATTTTTGCCTGACAGGGCAAAATTTTTATTTATGTTTTAGCTTTTCTTTAAAAAAACATCAAATCTCTCTTATTTTCAATAGTCTATCCTCTTCAGACCACCCTCCAGGAAAACTAATATATGAAGTACCATGACCTATATACATGAAACATTTGAAGAGGCACACATTCACACATTCTACCGTGAAATGTGTTTTTACTGTTGAATTGTAAAGGGCTGAAACCTAGAGGTTGCTCCTGCTATTTACAGTTAGGTCAAAGCTTCAGTTGTTGCTCACTGGCATAGTTTCACCAATGCTAACATCCTTTGTAGAAAACCCCTCATATCTACTAGTACATAACTTCAGCTCTTCAATAGATCAACTAATTAACTTTGCCTCTTTAAGGCAAGTTGAGTATCTTGTTATAGGCTTTAGCACAAATAATCTCTGCTTCATCCTTATGCCTAATTTTGAGATAAACATCTACCCAGCGAACATTTTCTGCCAGTAACATACTTTCACAAAACTGACTTGACCACATGATGAATACTGTAGCAGCACATGATCATGAAAGTGAAGTTTCTCATTTAACTTCTCCTTCAGGAGCGCTCCTCCAAAGACCCTTTCAAAACAGCTTGTAAAGCAGGAGAAATGGAATACCCATATGGAAAAGGTAGACAGTAAGAAGGTAATTGTCTTACCTAATGCTTTCTTCCGCAACACAACCCCCCCCCCCCCCCCCCCCCAAAATAATGTTATTTTCTGTTAACATTGGAAATATTTCTAAAGCGACATTGAGTAGTGTTCTATGTTAAGTGATAATTTAATATGTGCTCTTAAAAGAAAACAGCACACAGGAAAAAATACTTCTACATCACATTACCTGTAGCTAAAGCAGGAGCAGATGAACTATGTCAACCTGCTATCATCAAATCAAACAGTTTTTTCAGCAACTGTTTTCAGTATCTTAAACTATATTTAGAGTCACATGATTAATCTGCAGTATTTCTGTTGTGCATCTAATAAATACCTCCAGGTACACACAAAGATAACCTAAGCCTCTAGAAATGGGAGAAACCTGGGAAGAAAGTTCATTTGATTTCTCTCTTACTCTGAATTTTACTACACTCATGCTGAAAAAATGAGCCTGCATTTAAACTTGAACAGAGGGGTTACTTCTGCCAATGCATTAAAAAAATGTACATTGGAAAAATATGATCTACCTGCCAAATAGCACAACCTCAAATTCACAACTAATGTGCTACTTCCTGGCTTCATTCTTTGAATTACTGCATAGGAAATTACTTAAAAGTGCAATAAAAATCAACAGTTCTGAACACATATACAGTATTTTATAACTACTGATCAGCTCCCCATTGTATCCATGCAGCATATGAGTGTGAGAAAGCTTAGGAAGCAGCTAATGAGAAGCTAATCACAGCTTTGTGATTCACAGCCATACAGACATCAATATAATTTAAAGCTGCAGAAGGAGTATAATAAATTAGTCACAGGTAAAAGTTGAGGGGGAAATTAAAAGCACCACAGGCAACTGCGGGGAAAAAAAAAAAAAAAAAAAAAGCAAGCATTTTAAGGGCAAAATTGATAAGGGCTGATGAAACAGGTCTTCAGGTAGGCCACAACAAAGAACAGCAGGTAGAAAAATAAAAACATCCCGACTCCCATGTCAGAACAATTAACCAGAATGGAAAACAGAGTGAGCATAATTTCCTAACACCATTTCCTAATGAAATATCCTCTCAGACAGAGAGGATGATTCTAACTACCGCAGTCTCTTAGCACAGAACCAGTTCCAGATTTACAAATGTTAATACTGCCTTTTTGAAATGAAACAAAGGGTAGAAACATTTCCCAAACAAAACACACCCATATTACATCCTTTAAATGAAGGAAGCCCTTCAGTAAAACATTTTTACCAGTCTTCTATAAATATTTTAAGAAACTTTAATCAGTGTCATACCAAACAGAAATGTGTTTTATTAAAAGGCAAATCTTTGCTACCCTTAGTTTTTACCATGTAGGAGTAGAATGCAACTTAATGCAACTCTATATGGTAAACAAAATAAAACAAATTCTACTTTATAAGGAACTTGTTTGTAAATAGGTTAAAGTTGTTTCAAGATATCCAGGAAAACATCAGCATGACTTTAGGGCCAGGCATTTCTAGAAAGGTCCTGCCTAACATGAGTAATTTCAGCCTTGCAAACTGGGTTTACACATTCATCTTTGACATAACATCTAAAAATCACTACTCCCATACCAGATAATGATTGGAGTCTCTAGCAAAAATAAGGTTTACCAACACTTCTCCTAAAAAGATAATTCAGCAAAACAGCCCTATGACTGTCTCCTTTGATACTTGGTGTTCCACAAAAATGCTGGGACCAATGTCATTCAGATTTATAAATCTGAAGAACAACCTAGACGTACCAGTGATTCTGCAGGATGGCCAGCTTGTAAACTGTCTTTTTTCCCCTAAATATTTTTGTTTCAACTAAACAATACTTTTCCTCTCGAGACCTAGCAAATCACTACAATTCCTCCAGTTTTATTGTTGGAACGAAAAGTTAAATTATGTCAGGCTTTCTGAAGAGATTTAGTGTATTTTTGTTATCTTCAGCCTTGGATTTTTCTGTAGGCAATGGATTTCAGGATTCCTTGGTAGAGAAAAAGACGGCTGAAGATCTGAAGTCTGACTTGCTTCCAAAATGTGCCGAAAAGGTATCAAGGTAACAAATGCAGTTTCCTCAGAAATCATGCAAAGCCAATGTCTGCCATGTAAGGAGGAGTCAGACAGAATACTGTATCCTTGACTGGTGAATCTGCTTCACACTGAAAGGAGGTATAATCCTCCTTTTGGATTAGGAGATTCAAACACGCACAGCTTCTCATAGAGAATAAATAAAATGGTTCCAGCCCAACCATGCCTTTCAATGACAGATGTTCGTAAGAATAAAGAAAATAAAGTCCTATTTCCACTTTACATTAATGATGAGTTCAATACTCAAGTATGTCAAAACAATCCGGTGGTGAAATACTTCCATGACAGTACTCAGACGAAACAGCAAGTTAGCTAAACATTTACTCTGCTTGAGGTTCCAACACCTATTTCCAAGCCTAATGTCCTAAAACAATTTTTCTTCTCAGGTGGAATATCCTGAAAAGTTCCTTCACCTTTTTTCATCCAGCCAATATAAAGTATTTGGCATTGAACTGACAACTACAACTACGAGCAGGTTCTTGAATTTAAGATAACTCAGTGAAAACACAAGCTCACTGCTCAGCAGTCAAAAAAAAAAAAAAATCAAAGATGTTAGGAACTACTGGCAAAGGAATAAAAAAGAGAATAGTGAATATCATTATGCTATTATATAAATCCAACACTAGTTGACACATTGAGTAGTGCAGCCTGGCTCCTTCACCTCAACAAAGTTACAGTAAGACCTAGGAAAACGTTTACAGAAGATAAACCAGGACCATCAAGGCTACGGAACACCTTCTGTAGGAGGAACAGCTAAGTAAGTCTGAACTCTTTTGCTGCAAAGAAGGGTAAGAGACAGGAATATGAGAAGGCTGGGAGATGACTGACTAGACAGCAAGTCTGTAAGAATGACCTGGTCATCTACCTTTCTGGAGCCTTCCTTTGTTTGGAGGAGGTTATCTTCAAAGGCCATGGACTTCTCCGCCTTCCCTGGCAGCCTCTCACAGGTCACTGCTGACCATTTCCTTAACAAGCCCAAGACTACTCTCCTGAATTCCAGGGTCTTTATCCTGCTACTTGCCTTCCTCACCTCCATCAGGACCTTAATACTCTGCCCTCCACTTTCACTGCAGCCAAGTCTGCCATGAGCAACCACATCTTGAAACAGTTCTACATTCTTCATGAGTAATAGATGCAGATGTGCGCCTCCCCTAGCATGCCACCTGCGTCAAAAGACTGACCCCAACACACTCCTGAAATACCTGTGACACAAAACCACTTCTAAATCCAGGAACTGTGACTAACAGTAATTCTACGCATCATTAATACATTAGAAAATAACCTCATTGTTACAGCAGTTTTATCATACAGGACAAGAGTGTATAAAATGGATATATAAATATACACATACCCCCGTTAGTAGAAAGTATGTCTCATTTACTAGCCATCATCAAAGGGGTTCTCACCTCTAACAGTGTCAATGCAAAATAATCAACTGTTCCAAGAGATTTCCTAGTGCTTCCTCACGTGGCCCTACACATCATGTTGTCAAATCCCTTCTTCTCCCACTCCAAGATAGGAGCAGGTAGGGCAGGTCATTAGCACTAAGGCCAAGAAGGAAGACAGCTTCTTCAAAACCATAATGACCTTTTGTGGACAGTTACTGTGTTTACAGTGCCTCCAATCCCCAGATGGGGCCATCAGGTCAGCATAACACAGTGCTGCCAAAAACAAGGCATGATACGAGCCTTGAAACCACGTAAAGGCAGCAAGCATAAAAACTAATTAGTATATTTCATTCTTATGTAAAAGCAAATTACCTGTGGAATTCCTTGTGAGGACATGACTGCTTGATTATAGAAAATACGGCCAAAATGGTCTCGATCTGGAAATACTTCTGCTTGCCGAGGCAAATTTGCTCCTCCTGAATCAACTGGAGTGAATGGAAATACATGAACACGCCTTTGAACAGTGTTATATACTTAAGTTGTTGGTAAAGTATCTGCACATTACTTAAAATATACAGCAATCACTAACACTATATGTATTTCCATCTGTCTAGGTATACTAGGATATTCTTCCGGAAGAAAAAATAGTAACACCTCCCTCCCAAATAACATCAATCCCAATCATCCTAATGGAAAATAAATTCAGATGTGCTTAGACGTACAACCATACCTCCCTATACAAACTTCTAAACTCTCCTTACTGTAAAACATTTAAACTAAGAACACTTTCAATGTACAATTTTAACTCAATTATTCTATAGAAATTCTGTCACAAGTTCCAGAAAAGGGCAAGACTAACCACCACTGAGTTCAAAAGGCATAGCATGTTTACTTTCACACCCTGATTATACAGACATAACAAAGACCCCATACTATCTTTAGGAACCTTCATTATGTGTCCTTACCTCACAACGCGCCCTCCAGCTTACAGGTCTCCAACTGCAGCTACATCTCCACTCCCAAATCATGAAAATACGTAATATCACAAAACTCCAAAGAAGGATAGAAGACTAGAAGGAAACGTACAGGGAGGCCAAGCATCTCTGAGAACTCTGGTTCCTGGTAATTAATTTTTACCTACAAACAACCATCCACATGCACATTCTCACGCTGCATGACTGCAGCTGGTAATGCCCTACATTCACCTTTACCGTGAAGTGGGGTTTTGATTCTTTCCCCTACTCTTGCAGAACCAAAGCTGATGCTCTCCCAAACCAGCATCAGCTCTGGCAGCTAGACAAACTCCAACCTGGTCAACAGATCACTGTTGTGAAATGGGCCATCCCTGAACACAAAAGAAAATGCCCATACCAGTGACTGACTCAGTGACAAACAGCATCAGGTATCCACATCAGAGAATTAACACCGAGGTGGCCACCACTGAGGAAAAAAGCAGTTCAAATGGCATGAAAATTACATGGGCAGCAAACTGCTGATTTACCACAAAGCAGTCCCTCTTGATCAAACAACTGAAATGAACTGAAACAAGCCCAGGTACAGAAATTGCAAAGGTGAAATAATTCATCATGTTTGAGTGGTGAGCAGTATATATACAGGGACTATACACCTCAAAGATGAAAGGAAAAAAAGTAAACTTTTGATTCGAAGGCTTATCCCAGAGTTCCACATTCTGTAAGATCTTAAAACAGTAGAATCACACCTAACTCCTCACTCATAACTCACTAAAAAAAACAGAAGTTGTCTGAACAGACAGAATTTGCTGATAATTCAGACTAAAAAAAGCCACGCAGTAGTTTCACAAGCAGCAAAGCTAAGTTTCTTCTGTTTTTTATGACTAAGATAAAAATTTATCCTTCCCCTTGCCTCCAAGACCTTTTCCATTGCAGTACGACAACCCCACCAAGTCCCCACCTACATTGTCCCTGTAGCCATCCCACCAATACTTTCAAGCTCACATTTCTCCTAATCCTTCTCTCAGTATTCTTTGCATGTTTAGCCTGTGAGCAGGGAAAGAAATTACAAACACCTATGCTGGCCAGGACTTACATTTATGTTGACTATTATGTTGACAAGCACCCTGACTGGCAAACCAATTAATGCCTCTCAGCTGCTATGTAAGCTGCTAAACCAAGCCAAACAGACAAGGACTAACCCACCCTATTTTTTACATAGAGACAGTAGAAAGGGCTTTCTCTGATGCTGACTTACACAAAATCCACAGGAATACATAACTCTCTTAAATCCCTCTGTCATATTTGGCTGAAATTGGCTAATGGATTCAAAAGTTGCAAGACTGGGAATTGAGACTGAAAGCCAGACATTGGCAGAAAGCTCCCGTATTTGTACAATACCAGGCTAAGAAAATGCTACCTGTAATATACTAAAGACATCTGGCACTCTGATCTTAATCTTTAATAAAATTACACCTAAGGTGAAACTTACATGAAGGTTTGGCTAAATACTGATTTAGTAAACTAAACTCAAAATGCAAAGCAGTATACAATGAAATTTCTGCTTCAGTAAAATTAATCCCAAATTGTAAAAATCTGTTGATGCAAACTATAATTGATGTTTTTGACACTGAGACTTTTTTTTTTTTTTTTGGTATGTTCTTTCGTACAGATACATGCTCCACCAAAAGGCAAAGTAACTCTTTTTTTTCAAACCTTAATTTGAATTAAGACTGGATGAGACTAGGACGGATTACTGGAGCATGACAGAATGAAAGGAATAAGAAAGAAGTGATACAGTGGCATAATTATATCTGCATTTTATGAACGCAGCCCTACAGCAGTGCACACATCAGTCTCAACAACATTTATTTAAAAAGGCAGTATCTTTAGATCTAGAGATCCTGAGCTGCCCTTAACCAAGGACATTCACTATTTCTGCGATAGGACTTACCCAAATATAAGCAAGGGAGATGATTTTGCATTGCAATTTCTTGAGCACGTAAATGTTTCTTAACAGTGATAGGATAATAGGTACCACCTTTGACAGTTGCATCATTAGCAACAATCAAGCATTCCACCCTAAGAATAAAAACAAGTTTATGAGAGAGAAAAATATTTCTAATGAGTAAATACGCTTGTTGGTCAAGAACTGCAACATGCTAAGGACCCTCGAAGCCCTGATGCTCAAACAGAGCACTCCTTACCTGCATTCCCTCAAATGCACACCGTAACACTCCTGTTACAGCACTATGATGTCCTGTTTCACAGCCCCCTAACTCCCTCAAATAATACTACATAGCATCGTATTTAATTTCAACAATAGCCCTGGAGGTACTTTTAGCAAGCAATACTAATTCTTAGAACAGAATATTTTTTGAAAATGCCTTACTGTTGCACTAATCTCTTTCCTTCATCAGACACCAGAAACTGTGTGTGCTCTGCTTCAATATGGTATACACTAACTAATAAAACACAAAATCACTTCCTTTTAGCTAAGAACGAACAAATTAAGATACCAGCTTTGTTGATTTTTTGTGTGTCAGAAATGAAACACTGAAAATGGTAATAGCTTAATACTGGAAACTAAACAAAATTATACCTTCTTTCTTTTCATATCATCAATAATGTAGATCACTGGTATTTCTCACCCAGATACTCGTCCAATGCCTGTGATAATGCCTCCTGCTGGCACCTCTTCATTACCATACAACTGGTAACCTGCAAACTGTGAGAACTCCAAGAATGGAGACCTGAATAATGACAAATATAACATTACTTTAAAAAGGAATCAGGCATATTTGGCATTGAATCTCACTTAAAAGGTTAAATTTTTTAAAATTAGATTTGCTTTAAAAAAAGGAGATGAATATTTCGAAGAATACTTCCATAAAATTTCAACTGTTTTATCTGCCAGCGTTTATGGAAACTAAAAAGAAAACAAGCCTGTTACAGTACTTACCTGCAAAAGAGAACCTGAAGTGTTTTTTACAAAAGCAGGTACCTACCCAGGATCAATAAGCCTGTCAATTCTCTCTCTGGGTAATAGCTTTCCTCTTGATGCGTGAAGCTTACGAGCTTTTTCTCCACCTCCTGTGATACAACAGTAAATTCTTAGATCTACTATGGACATAGATAGATAAATCATCACTTATATTAAAACTTAGAATGGAAGCACTGATTAGTTCCAAGTTTTTGAAGTATGGACCTTAATAACGAATTTAATAAAGAATGTTTTTCACTTCAAACAGATTTAAGGTACTGATAAAAATGCTTGCTTTTCAGCATCTACTCCATTTCTGCCCTCATTTTTTACAGTTAGTCTTGAGGTAAAGAGAGTCATCTCAAACTTTGCCCCACTGCTTGGCAATGAACAGAAGGGTTGAAAACACAAACACACAGACAAAAGCACAGCAATAACAACTACAAAATATACTATTCCTCAAAATTGGTTCAGAATAGCTAAGCTGAATCCAATCTTGATTAATTTCCTTAGATCACTCCAAAACTGTAAGTAGAGTTCAGACACACAGCATTTAATATCAAGTTTATCTTTGCTTCATTTCAACCTTTTACTCGAGGTTATCCTAAATAGTATCTTTCGCTCTCTAGAGCTTCGTGTCATTCAATACTTAAGATTTGTTGACACACCTCAACCTCTTCATAACAACAGCTTATACAAACATTGTCTGTGTACGCAGATCACTAATCCATCTCATCACTCTAAAATTGTCTCTCCCGTCCAAAATAAAGGTGCTATTTTGCTAACATTTGTCCTGAGACTTTGAGATTTCCTTGCCAGCTAAACATCACTGAAACAAAGCTTTTAAGCCTTCATTTCAAGTAATCTCTCTTACCTCCTTTCTTGATCACTATGCACATAATTTCCCACCTGTTACGCATGCCAGAAAGCTCACTATCTATTTCTGAATCAGCCTGTTCATTAGGTCTGTATATCCAGCCTAAGTATAACTCTTTTTCTGTACAAGTTTAAGATACAACCTCTCATATCCACCCACAGAGCTAATACTCTCATCCAAGTTCTCAGCAGCCCACATCATAACAACATTTTCTCTGACCTCCATCATGCCTTTCTCATTTACACCCAGAGTGATGCTGCAAAAACAATTTTCCATCTTGTGATTCTTGCCATCTCTGTGCACTTCCCCTCTTAACACACTAATCATAAATGCTTGCCCTCCGGGCCCTTTAGACATTCTACTGAACTTTTTGCTTCCAAGACCAAGACGTTCGCTCTACCCTATGCTAGCCTCCATTCTGTAGACTATGAGATGCAGTGTCTCTGACAATGAAGCAACCTTGGATGCATTTAATTTTAAATCCCTTCTTTAATTTCTCCTTTACAGGAATGTCTATAAAAACTTCAATGTGACTGCTGATGTGCTATGACTGCTGCCAGTCACAGAGACTACAATTATCTCAGTTGCTTCTTCTTCTTCTCATCAGAAATCCATTCGTTGTAATTTATCATAGCCAGTAAATTCCTTGGGGCAGGCACCGTATTTCTGTTGCACAGCCGGGGATTACTCAGTAGCATGGGATATCAGTTCACAAAAGCCCTAACCACTGAAGTAACCGGTAAAGAATAAAGCATTCACTGCAAAGACCTCAGGCAAGAGCTCATCATCCTCTGAAAGACAGCTCTTACAAAGAAAAAGATGTTGCACTTATCCTTCATAAGTATTCAACATAAGTACCTAATTCTTCTCATGTACTTAGACGATAAGCAAAGCAATCTCAATCAATGTCACCTAAAACAGTGTATTGACATCCTGGTAGAGCTCCCTGGGATGGAGAAAAGGAGAGGGGCTATGCTGGACCTTGTTCTCACCAACAAGGAAGGGGTGGTGGGGAATGTGGAACTCAAGGGCAACCTGGGATGCAGCGACCATGAGATGGTGGAGTTCAAG